AAAAAAGGAAAAAAAAAAAAAAAAAAAGATGACCAGTAAGGGGATCTCAACCCTTGGCTTGGTGTTGTCAGCACCACGCTCAGCCAGTGAGCAAACCGGCCATCCTTATATAGGATTCGAACCCATGGCCTTGGTGTTATCAGCACCGCACTCTCCCGAGTGAGCCACGGGCCGGCCTGGGGCACCTCATCTTCAATGCTGAAATCAACTCTCTGGGAGGTGGCGAGAGTAGCAAACTGAAAAATGAATTGGGTTCTTTTGCCTCAGAAGTACTGTCTGTGAAACCAAAGTTGGTCCAGCTCTGACTTACTGTGTTCTAAATCACAGATCACCCCGCTGATCAGGGGCCAGAACCTGCTCTCAGTGTTCCACTCGCATCTTTTGACGCATCTGACCTTGAATGCTCCCTGTGTATGAGGTATGTGATGTGTGCTATCACTTACTGCCTGATGTTTCCTCCTTTCTGCTAGTGGCCCACTGCTCAGGTGGTTTGCACGTAAAGGCATGGTCTGCTGAAATGGAAATCATAATATTGATTGTCACATGGGCCGGCTTCTGTCCCCTGTTCACAGACTGCATTCCCTGCATCCCTGACTCCTGACTTGGAAATACCTGGAGAGTGGGAAGGAAACAGTCCATTCAGAGGTCACAAACTCATGGTCCACAGGCAGAATATGTCTTTTGTTTGGCCCTCATGGGGTTTGTTTTTGTTAAATTTGGATGTCTTGAGACAGGACATGTGCCTGTCTCTCACATTTGCATAACTTTCCTGGCCCCTACACATATTTAATTTTGTGACTGGAACTAATCTCAACTACTGGATCAAAAACTCAGAGATCCGGGGCCAATGTCAATGCCACAGACCTATTCTTTGGAAGCTAAGTAGAGGGCCTGACTGGCTTTTGTGTGGTGCCATGAACAATAGTTAGTAGTGGGCATGAGATACCTAGCCAAGCATTTCCCCCTCCAACTAGTGCCACATCATCCCTGTTTTCTCACTAGAGGCAAATTAGCCGCATACCCCCCCACCCCCCACTCCCAGAAGAAGAAAGATGCTATGATCATGGTCTATGAAATCATATATAATTTCGAAAAATTACTTTCATTTGTTTCATTTCCTAGCTGTGACTTAGTAGCTAAGAGGAGGGGTTCCAAGGCCAGGGTTTGAACCCTGGCTCTGTCACTTACTGGCTGTTTGACCTGGAGCAAGTAACGTTCTCTGCCAGTGACTAAAATAGAGAACCATAGTACCTGCCCCATGGAGTTGTTATGATTAATTGAGAAAATGTGACTCAGAATAGTGCCGGGCATATAGTAAGTACTCAGTAAATATTAAGTTAACTATTTTTTTTCCTTCTAGATAAGAAGTTCTTAACTTTAGGTCCTCCTCCCTTAACTGAGGAGGTTCTATGTATGGATTCTAATAGATCTATTAATTTCTTGAAGTTATATGTAAGAGTGCATGTTTATGTGCGTGTGTTTGTGTGTGTGTGTGATTTCTAGGACAAGGTCCACAGCTTTCAATAGATTCTCAAACATTTCTGTTTTCCAAAAGAGCATTAAAAGGAAGCTGAGATATTTGTACAAAAATTGTTAAGATGGTGACCCAAGAGAAGAGCAGTCAGGAAAAGTCTTTTGGTTCACCACACAGTGGGATCCAGGCAGCAGAGACTCCTCAGATGTTTTCTTGACCTTTACAAGCACATATGCCTCTCATATCAGTTACATGCATTTATATTCTGAACAACTTTTCTTGTCGTATGAATAAAAAATGAGTAAAGCAGCCATTACCAGAAACGTGGACTTTTTCTTTCTCTTAAAAAATAAAATTGTAGTTGTCAGATTTGCTCATAAGCTTGGGCAGACCTGATAACAAAGATAACCTTCTATTCAGCAGGTGGAATAGAAGTCCTCAAACAAACCTTTTGTATACTCAGGAGCTGGTTTAAGTGGAGTAGTCTAGGGTGGGAGGGGCAGTTCCTTTTCACTACGTCCCTCACCACCTCACAACAGAGTGGCAGGTGGGTCATGCCAAGGCCGGAGATGTGGGTCCCACAGGTAACACCCCTGTGGCTCCAAGCTCATGATGTGAGCTGTGGAGTAGACTTAATTTAGCTTGCTCAGAGAGACCAGGTCTTTGTTGTACTTATCCTCCTTAGCACTCCTCCCAACATGCAGGGGACATGAAATCAAGCATACAGACTCATCCTGTTTGTGTTTTCTCTGAGGACTAAGAATCCTGAGGTTTAAGTGCTTTTGTTCCTCTTCCTCTGCTTTCTCCCTTTCATCTTGTTTGTCCATGATCTCAACAGGGGGCTCTAAAGAAGGGTTAGAAATTTGGCCCAAAAAATAAACACCAGAAGGATAAGACCCCCTTCTAGTGTGCTCACTCTGAGTTTAAATGCCATTATTTCCCTTATCTGCCCCCCCTGTTTTAAGCGAGACTTCAAAACGAAAGGCCATCTTTGCCTGGAGTAGCTGTTGTATAGGCTGCTAAGTTACAGCTAGACTCTCACTGCTTTTTGATTACAAGAAACCTGCCAAATCTAGAGAGCATTTCTGATCTGACGCCCTTAAAACTGCAGTCCTTGGTCAGAAGCATGTAGTTCCCCTTCCAACAGGGTTTGTCTCTAAGACATCGGATATTGACAGAGGCTATGTCATACGCATGCTTTAGCTTGGATTATTACAGTCTCAAAAGAGTTCCTGTTTCCACCCCTCTTTAGTGTTTTTCTTCTTTTTGTAGTTGTTAGGATTACTGTTAGGTTCTGTTATTTCCCTCATATGTCTTTCGGGGGGAGGGTCAAAGAGTAGAGATAGTTCCAAATGATCTGCTGGCTCATGAAACTAGACATTTGTACCACTTGTGCAAGTTTCTAGAATGAAATGTGGTCCTACGCTGCTGCATTGGTAGAAAGACAAGTTAGAGTGTGAATTTATATATTCTGATTCTAGAGAGAAAATCAAGAGTAGGTTGTAAGTTCCACAGGGCAACGGGTGGAAAGAGTGAATGTAACAGTAATTGGAGGGTGCATTAATGAGGACCTTTTCAGTCTCCAAGTCTCCCTTGCTGGATTGGGAGAGCTTGGCTGAAGGAAGTTGCTTCCTAATTCCAGGACAGCACAACTCTGCCCCTCAATCTTTAGTGGCTGAAAATCATCTTTTGAGATTTACCTGGTTCAGATACCCTAGCCATTGGGGGCCATCTCTGGGGCTGCTGTGGAGCAGCACCTTTGGGGTGACAAGGATAGTGTGAGATGTGAAGAAAAATGTTTGATATTTGAACCAGTTACCTAATGGCCTAGTGACCTCTTTGTCAATTGAAACAAGAAGCTTTATATTAACCTAGTTCTAGCTACTCAAATAGCTGGGTGTTAAGGAGTCAGTTCATTCCTTTCTCCCTCTCTCTTGCCCTCTCCCTCTCCCCTCCTTCTCCTTCCCTCTTTGCTCTCATTTGATAGCAAAAGAACACAATGCAAGGATGTAACTGGTGGCAAAAGATAGCTATTTCCAGACAAGCCAAACATTTTATCCAGGCTGACATCTCACTGAAAGCATTTATTATTACTATTGTTTACTCCATCACCGTGACAATGTAAAAATGCTTTCTTGTGAGAAAATCTGGCCCTGCTCTGATTTTTAAATGCCTCCCTGAAGTGTTCTCTGAAATCATGACTTAAAGTGGTAAATAAAAGGGAGAGGAATTCGAGTATTTCTCTTCTCTTCTCTTCTCCCCTCCCCTCCTTTGCCCTCCTCTCCCCTTTTCTCTCCTCTTCTCTCTCTCCCTCTCTCTTCTCTCCCTCCCTCCCTTCCTCCCTCTCTCTCTGGGGGCAGAGGGGATGCACAGACGGAGATGGAGGGAGAAAAGTGTGTTATGAGTGTATGCATCTACATGTAGATGGATAATGTCTATTTGAGATATAGAAATATGCATAGTTGTCGCCCTGTCATAGAGTGGAGAAAAAAGATGGGCTTGGGAGCCAGATCTGACTTCACGTCCCAAGCCCTGCTACTTATCAGCTACCCACCTGAGTTTTAATTTCCTCAATAGTAAAATGGAGCTAATCATAATTACTACCTATTAATATATAAAGTTAATTTATATGAAAAACAGTATTGCACACACCCAGAAATATAGCATGAGAAATATATTTCATCTGTTCCCAATCACTTTACTCAGTTAGCCTATGCAAAGTGCAGAGGATCCCTGAATATAGAAGTGAATTGAGTATTGAAAACTGATATATTCTAAACATCGGAACCTTGAATTATTTCAAAGCAATAATTATGCAGCAACTGTGGCCGCATTTTTGTTTGTTACCATTCAGTCTGGGGCATTTTAATCATAGCTCTTGCTAAGAGATTGCTGTGTCCTTTTGTGTATGTTTCATTCATCTCGCTCACTAAATGCAAGTATTTGTTGCTATTAATTAGCCAGCTATATCTTTGTTATTTATATGGATTACATTCTTAAATGAATAGACCCAATTGTGCAATTCTCAGGAAAAATAGTTTGCATATTGATTGTAGATACACATTTATCAATCATCTTCATTATTAGCATCATCAAATAATGTATAAAAAGCATTCAGATTCATAGGACTCAAGTTACTAAGGAAATGAGATATTCTGGTTTGGCTGCTCTGGTAGTTAGATCACAGCAATGGTTCCCAAATCAGCCTGCAAAACACGCTTTTGAAAACCATTTTAAATTATGAAATATATGCAGTGGAGAAATGCATAAAAGATAAGTGTGATCTCTTAATAAAATATTGTAAAGAGGATACTTATGTAACCTCTGTCAGTTCAAGAAGTAAAACATTGTCAGGACCCCAGAAGCTGACCATATGTCCCTTTCCAATCAGGACTACTCCCACTTCTGAAACCACTATATTGACTTCTATTTTGTTTCTCTCTGTAGTTTTACCACTCATGTATGCATCTCTGAATGGTGTAATCTAGTTTTGCCTATTATTAAAAAAACTCTATATAAATTTAATTATCCAGAATGTATTCTTTCAGTCTGGCTTCTTTTACTCAGTGTTAAGCAGTAATAAGATTTATCCATGTCATTGCATGTAGGTGAAGTGTGTTCATTTTCATTATTATATAGTATCTCATTGTATGAATCTACCACAATTTATTTATCAGTTCTATTTTAGATGGATGTTTGGATTGTTTCTAGTTTGAGGATGTTATGGACATCATTGCTCTGAATGTTTTTTACATATACTGGTGCATGTAAGTGTTTGCCCATTCTCTATTGGGTTCTCTCTCTTTTTCTTAATGATTTGTAGGGGCTCTAAGTATGTTCTAGATATAAGTCCTTTTTTAGTCATATGTGTCACAAATACTTTATTCTGTGGCTTGCCTTTCTGCTCTCTTAATGACATCTTTCAGTGAACTTTAATAACTTTTATTTTAATGCAGTAAAAATTATGTCTTTTTATTTATAGTTAGTGCTTGTAGTTTTTTTTATTTTATGCTGAGGTCATAAAGATATTCTCCTATTTTTTCTTCTGAAAACTTTATTGTTTTGCTTTTCACATTTATTTTTACAGCCCACATGGAATTGATTTTTGTTTATGGTGTGAGAGAAGGTCCAATTTCATTTCCCCGTATAGATAGCCAAGTCTCTCAATAGCATTTATTAAGAATGCTATTTATGTATTGAAAATCCTTCCCCCCTCTGCTTTGAAGTGCTACATTTGTCACAAATTAGGAATCCCTATCTGGGTCTATTTCTGGGTTTTCTATTCTGTTCCACAGGTCTATTTGTCTTTCTGATAGTCATACACTGTTTTAATCACCACAGCTTTATAATAAGTTCTGATGTCTGGTAGAGCAAGTCCTCCCACATTGTGGCTCTTCACATGTGTGCTGGCTTTTGTTCCTTTTCACTTTCCTTATAAAGTTAGGAAACCAACTCGTTAAGATCCATAAAAACAAACAAACAAATTAAATAACCCATGGGATTTTTATTGGGACTTATTTAGGTCTTCTTTACTTTCAATGAGGTATTTACAGTTTTTTGCAGTAGAGGTCTTGCACAACTTTTGTTAGATTTATTTCCGGGTACTTGATTTTTAAAAGTAGTTGTAAATGTCATTTTTAAACAAATGTATTTTCTAATGTTTATTGCTGGTATATAGAGCTACAATTCTGTGTGTTTTTATATGTATTTATCTAGCAACCTTGCTAATACTATTCTTTTTAATTCTGATGATCATTCTGTAGATTCCTTTAGATTTTCTTAGTTCACCATTTGTGAATAATGACAGATTTGTTTTTTTCCTTTCCAACCCTCATACTTTTTTCTTCTTGCCTTAGTGCAGTTGTTGGGACCTCTATCATAAAAAGTTTTTTTTAAAAAAATCAACTTTTCTTTTTGGCCAATTTGATAACTTAAAATTCACTAATTCTGTTAAGCAAATTAACTTCTTTTAAAATAAAACCATAAAATTCAAAAGGTACCATAAAAGTGGTATATGAAAGGTCTCTCTCCTACTCCAGACCTTCACTGGCTTGCTAAAAGTATCAAATCTCTGCCCCTCACCTTGACCTGCTGAATCTGGTACTTTAGCCAGCGGAGCTTCACTGTGTGTATGTTTTTAAAGCTCCATAGGTGACTCTGATAACTATGTTTGAAGACCAATACAGAAGGTTCACCTATGCAGAGATTAGTAGGATTGTGTAACACAGTGATCCTCAACCTTGGCTGCACATTAAAACCACCTGGAGGGCTTTAAAAAATCCTGATGTCTGGCCATATCCTGAGCCTACTGGTCTCACTCTTTGTAGGTGTGGTCTTGAGCATCTGGAGTTTTTGAAAGCTCCCCAGGTGACCACGGGAAGGTTTATAAAGAGGCATGAGGAAACATTTGGTAGTTACCACCATCTTGATTATGGTAATGGTTTCATAGGTGTGTACATATGTCAAAACTTATCAAGTTGTACACTTTGTCTGTTCAGTTTATTGTACATCATTTATGCATCAATAAAGCTGTTTAAAGAAAAAGCTACCCAGGTGATTCTGAGGCACAGCAATGGTTGAGAATCATTGTTCTAATAGAAAAGGCACACGACTGGAAGTAGAAATTGGATAGACTTTCATCTGTCAACAGTTGACTGTGTGTACTTAGACAAGCGACCTCAGTTTCATTCTAGTTGGTGGATTCATTTTCTTCCCAAGTACTTTTCAGCTTTGACGTGATTGTTCTGCTCAGCCTGGCAGTGTGGGCTAAGCTGCTGGTGCACCTCCTGGCCAGACGAGGGAGCTGTGCAGCTGGCAGCTTCTTCCTCTCCACTGAACGCTCTTGTGAGGTCAAAATAGGCTGGTCAGGCGTCTTTTTCTTCTTTCTGTGCTGGCCCTCTTGGTGTGTGCGAACCCCACTTCTCAAGTATCGTCTTCAGCTGCCCCCACCCACTGATCCTGCTGCAGGTGAGCCTTTCTTTAAGCAAGTAAATCCGTGAATCTCTGAAGGTACAGAACAGCTTTTAAAAAAGACCCTCAGATTGCTTTGAAAATATCCTGCTCTCCCAAAGCAATTCAAATAGGATCTAATTGAAGTATACGTATGTATACATATGTATGTATAGATGTATAGATGTGTATATGTATGCATATATATGTGTGTATTTATGTCAAATCTATCCATATCTATCTGCCTATTTCAGTAAGCACATTAATAATATGACTCTACTGCCCCTAGGAAAATTATCCATCCATATAATTATCAGGGGTGCAATTTCGAGACCCTTCAGGCAGTAAACATTGCTTAGATGAAAAAAGAAATCAAGGTTAGCAAACAAACCAAGTTTTTTTTTCCGTGGCAATATGATAAAAAAGAAAAAAGTGCTTAAATAGGTAAATGTGTGAGTGTGTGTGTGTGTGTGTGTGTGTGTGTTTACATATACTCAGGTGAACAGGCTGGCTAAATATTTTTAGAGTGAAATCTATTCAGACACTCTGGGCATTAATCTCTATTTTTCTTGGACCAGAAAGGGAAAAAAATTTGGATGCTGCAGAAGAGATTGACTAGAACAAATGTTAGAAAACAATCTAGCTATGCCCTAAACCTTAATAAGTGCATTGTTTTTAATTGGCTCAGAAATGAAAAACAGATGCTTTTCTGAAGTGCAATAACAGCAGCAGTTAAAAACAAAAAGAATCTCCCCCCCTTCCCCCCGATTTTTCCAAATATGTAAAACCTTAACCTTGAGTAGCTCTGTCTTTTATTTTTGGTCTTATTGCAGTTTTCTTCCATTTTGATTCCTAAATTTCAGATTATTCTATGAGCCAGTCACAACACCTTGTGGACACACCTTTTGCTTAAAATGCCTTGAAAGATGCCTAGATCACAACCCAAAGTGTCCATTGTGCAAAGATGGTCTTTCACAGGTAAACCAGTATTTCTTTCTTGGTTGAGTTAGCTTACTTGGAATTGGGTACTAAGGCAGTGTTCAGCTGGATCTCAAGCCACTGCACTGTGATAGGGCAAAATACCCCCTCAGACCATCTATCTGTTTCTCCTGTTTTATAGCCACCCCTCCCCTCTCCACAAAGGCCTTCAGGAAAATGAGGCAACATCTAGCTTTTTATGAATTGTAAGTAATGAGATTAATTTGTGTTGAAAACAAAGGTATTAATTAGGTGATAAACATGGGTCCTGGTTCTAATCCCATCGTGGCACCTGACATACTGTAATCTTGGGTGGGTCTCTTTTCTCTGGACTTGGAATAGATGAGCTCTGATGTTCCCTTATCACTAATGCTAATTCCATGGTTTGAAGAGATCAGCTCCCAGGGCCCCAGAAAAACCTCATAAACCATCAATGTGGTCCTTGTCCAGTCTCTCAGGAGCCACTGTACTTATTAGCAGATAATTGGCTACTTGAAAAGCTTTGGGGCTCTCCCAGGTTCTCTAAAATTAATGACACAAACTCCCACCTTCATTTTTCAAGTGGGCCAGATAGAATGTCCTATAGCAAAAGAAGACCTAGGACTTTATCTTGTTATCCCTCCCTCAGGGACTTGTGCGCCACATTTTACAATCAGTATTAATATTCCTTGACCCTTGTCATTCCTGAGGAGAGGTTGGAGATGCAAGACTATCTCCAGGTGAATGCAGGTCCAGAAAAGTCACATGTTGAGGTTTCCCAACACCCCAACATTTTTTATTGTTTTTTTTTTTAACATTTACTTGTACATTTTCTTGGGGTACAGTGTTTAAACTGAGCGAATGGAGTGAAATAATCATCAAGGGTAGCCCCAAGGGTGTGTATTAGGGTTGGGAGGAGGGTCAATGTCATGCCTTTCCCTAGAAAATGGGTGGGATTTGCTGGCCTGATTGTAGGTGAGAAGCCCGTGGTCCTTATCTTTAAATAATACATCTGTGTTACGGTAACACTACAAAATTCAGATAAGCAGAAAGAAGAAAAATCTTTCCACATGCTTAGCACCTAGAGAAAACACTGTTAACTTTTTAGTATGTGCTCTTCCTGAGTTTTTGTTTTAGCATCAGCAGAAGGGCCACCTCCTTCTTGGATTGGCTGCCTCCTGGGTCACTGCTTTTCCCCCAAAGACGGGGACTGGGCAACACAGTTGATTCTCTTGTAGCCAGGCAATGGCAGGTGCTGATATGGCATCCCGGAGGCAGATGCCGTGGGGTCCCAGACTCAGGGGCTAGAAAGTATTCTCTTTTATCTCTGTGTACTCACACAGGGTCACACACCATTTTACAGAGAGATAAATATTCCAATCATGTTCACTGCAGAATAGACAGACACAGCCCATTACTGGGAAAAGAACAAAATTGTCTGAAGCCCCAGTTTTATACTCAGGAGCTCCCCCTGCTGGGTCTGTAGGGGTAGTTTCCATAGCGAGAAATTCTCCGCAGGTGTTTTAACATCCATTGTTTGGTTCCCACAGTTAAATATCCACTACTTACAGATCCCTGGATATGCATGGGGAAAGGGTGTTTGGGAGGAAAGTGATGGTGACAGTTGAGCCTGATTCTGATTCTGAAATCATGGCTTATAATTTCAGTGATATCTGAATGGTATATTAAAAAGGCAAATAGACAAAAATCACCAGTATTTAGCTTTGTTTGTTTGTTTTAAAACTGAAATTAGAAGAGAAAAAAAATGTGTGTAGATTTGGAAATATTCAGAAGCTAAGCATTGGGTTGTACTGGGGATGGGGCAGAGGAGGAAAGGATCAGTGATTGAAAATTGCTTTTTAGTTCCCTGAATCTTTTGACCATGGGCTTTCAGCACATCCCAGATGGAGACCATTTCTGTGAGCTTGTAAACATAATAATCAGAAAAAGGAAAGGGAAGGATATTTCCCCTTTTTCGATAAGAACGATCTCAATTTCAGTGTTCAAGGAATGCTATGAGATTTTAAAAGCTTCAATGCAGGTTTTTTACCCCTTGTTAAAATATTTTTTTCTAATTATAAAAGTAATCAGTGGCGTGTTTTTGTTTTTCTTTTTAAACTACAACATCCAGAGAATATACCCATTATGATATTATCAGCTGCCAATTTATGGGTCCAAACTACTCCAGTATGTGGGTCATTTGGCTATTTACTGATTATATCACAAGTGCTTTGTGTTTTTCTGATGACTGCATAATATCTAATCACCTTGTTCCTCATGTAGTGCTTGGCATCAAGAAAATACAGTAAAAATGTAATAATGGAAGAGCTAATAGCTAAATTCCTTCCAGAAGAATTCAAGGAACGAAGGCAGCTTTATGAAGAGGAAATGGAAGAACTTTCTAAGTATGTATATGCGTGTTTCTATTTTCAGTTTCACTCATACCAGCTCTCGAGAGCTGAATGTGCCCATTTCTTCCCAGCTCCTCATTCAGTGATAACAGCTGGTAGCTTGAAATTGGCCATGGTGAGAGTATTTACACCATGGAAATTGGCAAATGCTACAAACCAGGGCTCTCCCCACCCCCAGAGACAGTTGTTAAACATTTACTAGCATACCACTGAAGAACCATAAGCCAAACCACTGGCCAGGACACATTTTGGCACTGGTAGCAGGGTGTTGCTGGCAGAAGTAAATTGGAGTAGCTTAATCAGGGGAACTGAAGAAGTGTGTGGAAGACTGTCTTCAAATATATAATGAGGTGCTATGAGGTTAAGAACTTTGGTGTTAGCCAGACCTGGGCTTAAGACCCAGTTCGTCCACAAAGTGAGTATACTTCATGACCCTAGGCAGGTCCCTTAACCTTTCTGGGCCTCAGTTTCCTTATCTGTAGCTTGGAAATAAATAATAGGTCTTATCTCATGGAATTATTCTGAATATCAAATGAGCTAGTGCATAGTAAGCACTTAATCATTGGTAAAGTACCAATACTTGGTGTTATATGCTTCCTCTGCCATGCACAGATAGTGTGAGAGGTGAAGGGGATGGACGGAGATGTAAGTGTGTCTCTAAGCTGTCTGCCTGGCTGCAAAAACAGCTCACTTGGCAGGAAAAGCAGGAGGTGGTCACTCATTTCTGCCTCTTACTGCTGCCCTCTACTCTCCCCATCCTCTGTAGAATCCTCCCAGCATTCTGGAGGCGAGATTCCTGACAGCAAAATCTGTTCTGGTTGTATGCCCACCCTGTAGAGAACATTTCTAAACTCTGTCACCAGTTTGTTTGAATGTGCCTCTCACTTTGAATGATATGTTTTCCTCAGAAACTAGAAATCTTTTTTTTTTTTTTTTCCTCATCGACGTATTGGAAATACTTAGGGAATCTTTATCTCTATTGCTGATTCTTAAGTTAGCCTTGAGCTTCTCTGAGCCCTCCTCTCAAATACCACTTAATGTCTTATAACAAACACTGGAATATAGGGAGCTTTCTATTTAAAGGAATCCTAGGGCTGGAATGTGGCTCATTGGGAGAGTGTGGTGCTGACAACACCAAGTCAAGGGTTAAGATCCCCTTACCGGTCATCTTTAAAAAAAAAAAAAGGAATCCTAAACTTAACCCTAATGAGATTTGGGCAAATGGTCTTATATCTCTTGGTAGATTTAGGTTCAGATGTTCCTGCATTGGATTTACTACACAAACAAGAGTACAGGGATACAGGAGCTGGTCCAGTTGATGGTTCCCCAAAAGGCCATGTGTCTGAATCTTTGGGAGAACTTGTTGAAAGGCAGACTCCTAGGCCCATTTCCAGAGCTAATGCATCAGTATTTCTCAGGGTGCAGTGGCCCAGTCATCTGGATTTAAGGGCCACCAGTGATTCTGATGTACAGGAGCGTTTGAGCATCACTGGGCTAGATTACTCTTGCCTGTCTTTTGCTCCCTCCTCCTCCCAGCTGGGCCTGCTATACAAATTCTCTGACGGGCTTTGCAAATTTGAGATACCCACAGGGACCTTTCAGAGAGTTTCCTACCACCCCTCTGGAGAGCTGGATCCACTTGTACTATCAGTACCTTTCCCCATACAGTCAGCAAAACACCCGAAGAGATTGTTTGAGTGGAGATCACAAAAGAAAGAAAAAAATATGAGGTACAGCTATCATCTGCAATGTTAAGGTACTAAAGAACTTCAGCCAAATTAGAATGTGTGGTATACCAATTTTAATCTCTTAGACCTTATGCTAACTTCTGCACCAGATAATCGCACTCAGCCCACAGCATCAGTTACATTTCAATATTTTTCTATCAGCCATCAAAACTGGATGGCTCCTTGCCTTCTCCTGGTGGTACCACATAGTGATGTTTGACCAGCCTTTTTGTGTTCTGACCCATTGCCTTGAGATCCATGTCATTTGCTCTTCCTGACAGCTTAAATAAGAATGTGCCTATTTTCGTGTGTACTATGGCCTATCCCACCGTTCCTTGTCCCCTGCACATCTTTGAGCCTTGTTACCGTCTGATGATTCGGAGATGCATTGAGACAGGCACGAGACAGTTTGGTATGTGCCTTGGAGATCCTGACAGAGGGTAAGTGAGGAGCCATGCGAGTAAAGGGAGGTTGAGTGGAAAGGGGTTTTTTGTTTTACTTTGGGGTACTCCCTGGCGATGGGAAGGCCTAGCTCCTGATGTTTAGCCAGCTTAAGAACATGAATGTTTGTAAGGATCATGATCTGGTGCCTATTTTACCATGTGAGAGGCTGTCTAATTAAAAGAACCCCAGAATTAATCTTCTGTTAAACAGGTGGGATATATTATAAAACTTGTTTTATAAGAGTGTGGGCCCTGGAGTCAAACTGCTTGGGTTCATATTCTGGCTCCAGCCTTGGAGCAAGTTTTACTTTGGACAAATTACTTAACCTTTCTCTACATGTAAAGTGGGCATAATAATATTGCCTACCTTGTTGGATATGTTGGGAGAATTGCTGAGTTAATAATGCACATAAAACGCTGAGCAGTTTCTGGCTGTCTCAGCCCATTTTGTGCTGTTATAAGAGTACCACAGACACTAACTTATAAACAATAGAAATTTATTGCTCACAGTTCTGGAGGCTGAGAAGTCCAAGATCAAGGTGCTGGCACCTAGGGAGGCTTTCTTGCTGCACTGTGTCATGGCAGAAGGCTTCACATAGCAGAAGGGCACAGAGAGGGCAGGAGAGAGAGAAAAGGTGGCCAGACTTGCCTTTTTATAATGAATCTTCCCCCATCATATCTGTCATACCAGCATGAATTTATTCACAAGGGTAGAGCCCTCATGGCCTAATCACCACTTAAAGGTCCCACCTGTAATACTTTCACAATGCCAATTTAATTTCAACATGAATTTTGGAGGGGACAGACCTTCAAATCATAGCACTGGCACATAGTATGTGCTGAATAAATGGTAGTAGTTATACTAATACATTAAGTTTTTTCACACAGGCACTGCTTATTATATAGTTGTAGGTGTAGACCTGGGGACAGGCAAATAGGCAGAAGTCCTTTGAGGCACAGCACGGGGTTACAGAAATGGCTAGGGGCCAGGCCAGAGAAATAGAACTCAAAGATCTACTTTCTTGCCTGTGTTCTAAATAAAGCAGGTTTGCAGAATATGGCTGTATCCTAGAGATCAGAAACGTTCAGTTCTTTGCTGATGGCCGCTCAGTGGTTGACAGCGTAGGCAAGAGGCGCTTCAAGGTGCTCCATCAGGGCCAGCGGGATGGCTACAATACAGCTGACATTGAATACATTGAAGACCAAAAGGTAAGGGTGGCCTGTGCCAAGAATCCCAAAGCCAGGCTATTCCTGTAACTTGGCATACAAAGATGGTTACAAAAAGGTTTATCAGAACTGTTGGGGGCCTTGGGATTTCTCACCAAATTACTGCAGCAGCATTGAATGCTGCTGGATTGCTCTCCAGTTGCAGAATGACAGTGAGAGCACCCATTGTCTTGGCTCTCCCTGCTTAGCTGCTGAGTTGCATTCATGTGTAAGAAATGCTACCCCAGAGCAACCCTGGGGCCCATTCAGACTAGGAGTTAGGTCTCTGCCAGGGATACCAAGGGATAGATTTGGAGTGGGGTCTACCCATGTGTATTTTATCTATCAGTTTTTTTATTTACATTTTTAAATTTTTTTCTTTTAAAGTAACTGTAGACTCACACACACATTTGTATTTTTAAATATGCAAGCTGGCTAAGACCCCTTCCCAATAATCCATTCCATAAGGCAGAAAGATGATATGTCCAGTTAATCCTTGGTTTTCTGAGCTAATGGGCAGAAGAGGTAAACAATCCTGTGCTCATTAGTATTTACATTCATTACATAGTAGAAGATTAACAAATATTTGATCAATGAATAAATGTATTTGACTTAGAAGATAATTACACACTGAGACACAGACACATTCATGTCTCTTTTCCCAGTGAGCAGTGGGAAAATAGATGTAAAAATGAAAAGGGATGGGCTGACCCGTGGCTCCCTGGCTGAGCGTGGTGCTGACCACACCAAGCCAAGGGTTGAGATCCCCTTACCGGTCATCTTTAAAGAAAAAAGAAAAAAGGGCAGAGGCATAAACCAGCATAACCTAGTGCCTCCACTCGGACCAGTTTGAATCTCTGGTTTTCTGTATGTCTTGTTGTTTCAGCTATTCTCCCCAGCTGAACCTTTCTCCTTCCTCCACCCTCAGCAGTATTTACACACAGTCTAACACCTGGCTTAGGAACATTTACCATCTCACACAAGAGAAAACTAGATGGGCAAGCCTTTCCATAGGGAGGCAGGATAGATGCTTAAAGAGAATCAGGTGTCAAAAGCGACCCCGGGGGTGATGGAGAGGATACAGAATGTTTCACTTCTACTTTGATACTTCTAGGTTCAGGGAGAGGATTGTGCCGAGCTCATGGGATTACATAACTGTGTCTATGAGCAAGCATCATCATGGTTTCATTCACTCAAAGCATCTCTGAAGACTCGGATACTCTGTCACTTTGGTCCAATGCCAGAGAAAGAAGCTGATCCCCAGGTATATAAAATGTCTATTTATAATGGGTTGCCCCACCAGACGAGAATACCTAGGGTTTGTAACTAGATGGGTGCATGGCTACCATCCAGCAGATCAAAAGCAAAGGGGAAAGTGAATCCAATTTGGTATTGTTTGGCTTGGCAGTGAGCATTGGGTAAGACCAAAAGGATCCCAAGTCAAAATTGGGGTAGCTAAAGTAAAGCAGTAGGAACTTGGATCCAAGACATGTTTTGAGAGATAAGTGAGGTGAGAGAATGGGAACATGGATGCCTCCAACAGAAGAACCTTCAGTGGGAGTCCAAATTCACACCATGATAATGTTAGGGTGACAAGATACATACAAAGGCCAGGACTCAAGGGAAGGGTATCCTGGGAGCTGAGACCAAACAAAGGCTGCTCCAGAGAGTTTCATAACTCTCTTCCCCATTGCTACAGGAGCTAGGAGATGAGCCACCTATCCTGTAAGATTCCAACGGTAAGACCACAGAACCTTTTCACTCCCAGGTCCATCCACACTTAGCCCTGCAAGTCTAGACCTTGCTATTGTCCTCATCAGGAGTGAACAGGTCCGGAGAAAACTGACCTCATCTTTAAATTTGTCCTTGGCTGAGCTATACTAGAAACCAGCTCATTGGATTCTACTGGATCAGTCTTCTTGACAGGCCTATTTGCAAGATCAAGCTGCATATCAGAAGCTCTCCAGGAAAATGGAGATAGTTAAGTTTCACCAAAGCTTTGCTTGCCTGGTATAAACCAGGGATTATTTTCAGGGAATTCCATTTGTGGAAATACTTTATTTCTAGGACAAGGCTGGAGATACCTATTGTAACCAAATATTTCCATACCACCCCCTATTTCTGTACTCTGAGCTGGTTCTCCTACATCATCATTCCCATAACTTCCTTGATTCTTTACTTATGCTTGTTTTGACTCTATCACAATAGCAAAATCTGAATATATATATTCTGACTTCTCTGCCAAAAGACTTGCCCTCCTTACCTCTCTAGTGATGTGGCCTTGGGTAAGTCCTTCCCCTATCTCAGCTTTTTTCCCATTTCTGAAATGAAGGAGGTGGATGAGGAGGTCTCTACAGTCCTTCTTCCTCTTGCATTCTGAGGCTCTAAAATACCCGTCTATTCCCAAATAGGCCGAAATGTTTTGCTTTCTCCAGATCACAAATGTGGCTCCTTTCCCCCCACACAAAGGCATCATGAATGTTGAAGAGAGCAAGACCAGTTAATGTATCCCAGTCACCCAGCTCCTGGCTCTGGGCCACCATGACTCAGGACTACAGCATAGCTCTGAGCAAGCTCATGATCAAACTTAATACTCCCCTTCACCTTCTGGGAAGCATTCTCCCCCAGTCAGGCAGGCGATAGAGATCAGCAATGGTGACAGCATCTTCCGCAGGAGAAAACACAGATGCTACAGTGTGATTCATAAGGGCTTAATGACATAGGAAGCTGAAACCTTGGGTTTCATTTCCTTTTTTATTAGTTCTGTTGTCATGTTGCTTTGGCAGCAGCAACACCAGCAAAAAACAAAAACAAAACCCACCCAGTTTGTTCCAGTCAATGCTGCAGCCCCAGTGGTCCCATGAATAAGAAAGTTGTAAGCCTCAGATCTCTTAGAAGTTGGCATAAGTATTAACATCAGCATAAATATCTTTGTTGATGATCCTAAGCAAGAGTTCAGAATGTCAATCTAATATTCAGAAGTGATCATAAGAGAGAGGGCAAGTTGCAGACTGCAGTAATGGACAACAATGAATCCAAATGAAGTTAGAGGCACGGAGAAGCAAAGAGGGCAGTAAGATTTGGGGACAATCAGAAGAACCGATTTGAAGCCAAATAATCCCAGGTGTAGGTGGTTTGACCAGAATGGGGTTCTTTACAGTCCTAAAATCAACTTTCTGCAAGTTGTGGGCAGAAAACTCATTTCAGGCTTAGTAGGAAATAAGTCACCAGTGTCTAAAATGTGTGCCTGAGAAGCTGCTTACAAATATAGTTTTGGTGAAGGATTTATATGGGATGGGAAAGCTCTTTATTAAAAGGAAACCTGGGGGCAGAATACATTTCTAATGTGAATGTGTTTTCTAATTGGAATTTTTGCAAAGGGGGTTGCTGTTCTTTGGGACTGTAAACCATTGACTTTGGTTTCAGGGGAGAAGATAACTGTGGCCCTGTATAGTGTCATGGTCTATCTGGACTATTGCCTTCAGCCAGAGCAAGGAAATGAAGGGAGTTAAGAGACATGCAAAGCCTAAGGGGTCGTGGGAGTTGAAAGCCTGCATGTTATGTGCATCAGTGCAAAGGACCTAAACAGAATCTTAGAAGTTGAAGAAACTGAGTAGTGGATATTTCAGCTCATAAAATCACACTGGCTAGGAGGCAGGGTATATCTGTTAGGACATTGGCTTGTTTGCTTTAACAAGTACCCAAACCAACTGTAGCTTAAACAAGATAGAGGGCCTAAGTCCTGGAAGGCTAGGGCAGCTCTATCCCATGAGAGCATTCAGGGGCCCAGGCTTCTTCATCACAAAGCTCTATCATCCTTACAATGTTGCCCTCATCTTCTTGATTGAAGAAGGCTGATCCCCACCATGTCTACATTCTAACTAGGGGAAAGGGGGAGAAAGAGGAAGATAGAGGGTACATGCCCCTTTCCCAGAGCATGACCGAAAAGTTGCACATATTACTTCCCTTCACATCTCATTAGCTAGAACTTTGTCTCATGGCCTATCTGCAAGGGAGGCTGAGAAATGTAGCCTTTTTTTTTTTTTTTTCCCCCGGAGTGACTATACGCCCAGGTCAAATAAGGGAGAAATCAATATGGTGGCAATTAGCAGTCTCTGCCACACACAAAAGCAGTTCCACCTGGGATATTTACCTTGAGCACCGGGAAATCTGCAGACTGATGTTGCTTGTGTGTGAATAGGATGAACCCAATGCATTTCTCTTTTGCAGGTTAACCCGAATGGTCCCGCCTGGTGCTGGTGGATATTAGCAGTTCTTCCCTTAGAAAGCCGAGCTCAGCTCCCATTCCTGGCAATGAGATCCTTAAAGGATAGACTGAATGGTATTCGGCGAGTCCTGGCCTTTATATCCCGAAACCAAAACTAATGAGAGTAGATTGCTGAAGAGGAGCTCCCACCCTCCCCACTGCCCTAGGGGATTCTTCTTGTAAATATATCTAATTGCAATAACATCTTAACAGAAGGGAGTATCAAACAGAGGCATTAGCCTGCTATTGATCACAGAGAGAAATCAAGTAGAAAGACCAAAAGAATGTGACCTGTTTCAAACTTTGTCTTAAGATGCTTCTTGACATGCTGTACAACTACATAAACAGCAGAGGCATTTAAGAGCCCAGAAAAAAAAAAATTGATTTTAACGTAAAATTTTCTGAAAGCTTAACGTGGTTTTGCTTTAATTTTCTTTCTTTCATAGATGAATGACTGTGCGGTTGAAATGTGAAGCAAAGATATTGATAATGTTGCTACATTATTTCACTAACTTGAGGTCTCATTCCAAATGGTTCAGGTTTTATAGAGCATTGTGTTAAATAACGTTCATACTTCTTTCTGTTTTATTTTTTGCGCTACTGTATCCTTTTTTCTACATGTATGTTTCTAACTAAGTGTACATTAATGAAAAGTTTGTTGCTTTATTTATTGATGTGGTTTACCATGTACCTAGGGGGAAATAACAATACTAGAAATGTGCACTTTAATCTGTTTTTACTACATTCATGCCAGTTCTTGGACCACTTCCGTTTCTATCCAATTGGATGTTTAAAAGTTAAAAGGTGTTCAGAATGATGCTAAATCATCTGTCTTCACAGATTCCACTTTTATTTCAGTTTGAATTAAACAATATAAAGTACTTAGGGATTTGGCATAGATTATGGTATATGCCAGGGTAAACTAAAATAATCCATTTTCTGTGTGTAATACAGAACAAGGCTGAAAGAATTATTTTTCTGGAATGAAGAGGTGACTCAGAGCAGTGTTTTTTACTACAGTCTATTATAGGCATTTATTTCAGCAATATAATTATAAGTGTATCTGATTTCTCTCCAGTGCAGTTAGGAGTGGCATTTTAGGTAGGATAGCTACACCCTTCAAAGGGAATGGCTTTCAGTTTGGCGTGTCACAGCCATGCCCTACTAGCCTCCACACCCCACCTCTTCTCTGAGCACCAAGACCTGGGCTAGCATGTGCAGAAACACTTGATGAGGGCCTGCTCACTATTAAATGTATGAAGAAGCCAGGTAGGGTAGAACACCTTCAAAATCTTTTTAAAGGAACCAGACAATCCATGATCCTATCTAATCACTCCCTTTCCTTCTAGTTGCAGTGGGCCAAAGATTTCAATATAGAGGGCGAATGGAAGATGAGGTAAGAGTAAGCCCTTGTTTAGCTTCCTTAGTTCTAGTTTGACTCCTTCAGTTTCAGGAGAACTTGAAAAATACCTTAAGCATGGGAGTGCTATGTTGGCAAAGTGAAAAGATTAGGGCAGGGAAGAAGTGTGCCATTTGTACCTTCATGCAAATTCTCCCCCCATGTGATTTTTAGACAGCTGCGGGGGGCATTCTTCACTTGCAGCCTATCCAGTCTGTCAGGTGAGGGGGTAATGCTTCAAGTAATCGGTGTGACTTCTTCCATCACCAGCTGTAGCCAGAAACAGGAAAGGGAGAATGAGATGATTGAGACAATATAAAAGAGACTCACATAAGCGGAACCCAAATAATCTTTTTTCTGCACTTGCTTATGTTGCTGGAGCATTATGTTACCAGGTTTGATGTTTGGAGCCAGACTGGGCAGGTGAAGAATGGAAGTAGATGGAAGTATAGGCTTGGTTACTGCCCATGCAAACTCGATAAGGCTCAGGGAGCAGGAAATTAAAGGCTTTCCCAACCCATCCTGGTGCCCAACCATGTGATCATAACACAGTCCTAGTGCAATAGTTTCCTACTATCTAGTGTAAACTCAACAAAGAAAAGGGAAATAAGTTTCTCTGCTTACTAGATGTGTTACTTTTGGCAACTGATTTAACTTTTGCTGAGCCCAAGTTTTCTCTTCTATGAAATGGTAGTGATAAAAGCTGCACATAGGGTTGTTATGAACATTAAATAAGATAACGTGTAAATCACTTAGCACAGTGCCTTGTGCATAGGAGACACTCAACAATAGCTACTACTAGATTAGTCATAATTACAGAATATCAGCAGGAGCCTATATTTACATAAAACTACCTTTACACACAATACCCATTTGGAACCCCTTTAAACTTGGTTGGGGGACTCCACACCATTGATTTTTAGACTATAACTTGATGATTTATAGGTAATTCCTTTTGGGGTTAAGTCTGTTTGAGAAAGTGAAAAGACTAGAGAACAAATGAGGATCAGAGGTGGGGACCAATCCTATATCAGCAAAGTTTTTCCCCTTTCAATAAGGACTAAAACATAGTGTTTGTAGGTCTTGAATTTCTGATGGAATATAAATCTTGAGTTCTAGCTCCATCAGAATAACCAACTCATTATTCCCTGTTCTACAAAATGTATTGAGAATCTCACCCATGCCAGGGTGATTGGATTTTACAGTCTATGACTTTTGTGCTTAGTTCATGGTATTTCTTTATGCTGCCCAAAGTAACAGATTGAACAAAAATGTATTGTGAGCCTACAGTGTACCAGGAACTGAGCCAGATGATCTCACATATCATTAAATCATTTATTTCTCACATCAACCCTGTGAGAGCAGTTATTATCCCCATATTATGGATGCGAAAACTGAGGCTTTACAATGCTAAATACGTTGCCCAGGTAACATAGTCCACCAATAATTGGCCACACTTGATTTTGAACACATTGCTTTGCAGTTTTAACATTTTAAATAGCTTGTGTTACACGTAATTTTATTAAACAGGCATGACAACCAAATCACAAAAGCACCCCAAAAGCTCATGATGGGAAGTTGCAGTTAAGTAAAATTAAATTACTCAACACATCTCTACTTAATCTTAGTAGAAAAGGAAGTTTGATTTCTTAATAAAATTCCATATCATAGAATGCTTCACCTTGATAAGTGAGTATCCAACTCCAGTATCCAACTCCAAATGGAGATCTTGGCTAGGCAGAATTGCACTTTATTCTCAGTAGCCTAGATACACGTTTGGATGGTTTTATGACAAGCTTTTGTTTCAGTAGTAGTGGGAGGCAGGATTCAAGGCTAAGCCCTGGCTTTATTTGGGATGTACTTGAATGAGATAATCAATTGGACTTGGCCATTTTTGCCATTTGTAAACTGATTTTGCTACACAGCTTGGGAATGAAGAGTATACAGAGAAAAGATATAAAACTAAATCTAGGCCAGAAGGACATGATTTCCCCCTTGGTAGATAGTGCCACTTATGTGGTTAGTTTTCCTATCATAACTGACCCAGTCTTTTTCTAGTAGATTATTTTCTATATGTATGTATATACGTATGTCTGTGTGTGTATGTGTGAACACACATACACACACACACATACATATACTAGGTAGTAAGCAGACATCATGCCTTTCTGCTTTGAACCTTACTGCTGCTGCTAGCAGATAACCAGCAAAATGTAGAAACTGAAAAATGAAGAAACTAATCTTCTGTAGACAACTTGGAGAAAAGAGTGCTCACTCCTGACGGGGGGACAGAGAATTGACTATTTCAACAGTTTGCTTTCTTTGAAGGTAGACTGCTTCTAGCCCAGTGCTGCCTCAGCAGCAAGGGGCAAGCCGAGTCATTGCATATGTGGCACTTTCAGCTCTGCCTGTGGAGCTGGCCTGGGCTCAGATAATCCCCTGTGACTGGCTTTTGGAGCAGTGGAGCTCCTGAGACTGGTTCACAGCACCCTGAGGTCTCTTACTGTCAACAGCTTGCATACTGTTGATGGACTGCAATCCACTGGGGACTGTGTTCCCCACACCAACTCCATTTCCAAGATTGGGAATTATATTTAGGGACTCATTCCTTGAGTTCCCAAAATATTGATTTCACATCCATTTCTGTTCACCAAGGTAGACTTATAGCAGAGATGTGTGACAGAGATGTGAATGGAAGGCAGCCCAAATAATGGAAAAGGGCAGGTTTTCAGCCCACTCTTGGGCCTGAGGAATGAGGTTTTGATTTATGATTGAAGCAGTCAGCTGCATGGGCTTCAATTTGTGACCCTTTCTAAGTACAGAGAGAAGGAAGGAAAAGGAGCCATGTAAAATGTGCACATTCAATTCATCTTAGAAGGATAGCTCCCATTTATTATACTGTTCAACTATTTAATCGTCTGAGTCACGCACATCCAGAGGTGAAATGAAGAAATTTTCACTTACAAGTGGCTATTTCCAAACATGCTAAGTTAACCTCCAGAGAGAAGTGCCTGTAATCTCTGTTCCTGGTGTCACTTTAAAACTTTTGCTTCATGACTCTGTAGCTGTTTAAACATTTTTCGCAGCAAACGTGATTAACAGATGTTTACAAAGCAACACTGTAGCTTATACATCATTTAAAAAGTCAATTTACATTTATCTATTGTTAAAGCAACGACAGTAAACAGCGAAATAAAAGGAAAGCAAATGTGGTACCATAGGCTTATCTTAGATATACTAGTTCCATCATTTTATGCAGTTCTTAGTAATGCCAGGATGAAACTATCAAGCAAACAGTGGCAAATGTATATGTGTGTTTGTTTTCCATTTATTTGTTAAGCAGCCATTTTACTTTTGCACTGTAATGATCCTAAGAGAAATTAAGATACTGCTTTTTGTTCCCATATTGCTGTTCAACTACCTCTATATGCTTAATTTCTTTTTAGGGTTTCCCTTCCTTCAAATCTGTACAAAAAAGTTTCAGCTCACCTATGTTGTAATAATGTGATATGTTAGACAGTCTCTGTGAAAGTTGTTTGTTCATTAAAAAATGTTTCCTATTGTCTCACTTTGTATCTAACAAAACTGTACTCATACCTTAGGAAGAGAATTTCCCAGCTAGCTTCTGTATTCCTTTGTTGGAAGCTGACTTTAAGGAAAGCTATGGGAACATCTATTTTGTTCTTATTCCTATTGGTTGTAATACATTTGGCCAGAAGATCCTTTAAGGAAATAGCCCTGCACTCAGACAGCAAACTCCTATATATGTGACAGTGAGGCAGGTGTGAACTGACTAATGTGACTGATGTGTTCTGAAAAAAGCCATAAATTAAGTTTTTTAAAAAATGCACCAGAAAAGCTTGTTATTTAAAGCATTATGGGGGCTGGCCAGTTTGCTCAGTTGGTTAGAGCATAGCCTTGTAATACCAAGGTCAAGGGTTCGTATCCCTTTGACTGGCCAGCTGCCAAAGTAATAATAATAATAAAGGATTATGTTGAAGTATTTTGTCAGTAATCTGCCCTTAGTTTATTTATAAATCCAAGCAACATATATTGGGTTTGCTTAAGTAGAACACACTACCTTCTGTTTTCTTTGGCATTATAAAATGTTCATGAAAGCAAATTACACGTATTTATTTTAATTAAAAGCGTTATCAACAGTAGGCTAAAGCTAAGCCCAAAGCACAAACCTTTTAACAGGAAAATTGGTGAAATTGATTGAGACAGTGAGAATATTGATCAAACTGACCCCAGCAAGAGAGCTTCAGCAACATCCCATCTTCGCTATAGTATTGACTTTAGTCTCATACCATTGATGACTTTATACAAGTTCTATTTTACCACTGAGGAAAAAAGGACATGGGAATGGGACAATAAAAAAATGAAATGATAGAAAATTCTGTTTGGGCCTGACCTTGGTCTGCATAACAGGATCTTTGGAGGTAATTGAGAAAATTAGAACTTCTGCTCAACTAGGCCACAGAGGGAATGCTTGGCTCTGTTGGACTTTGCCCTTCTGTGCCCAATCTGCCACTCCCCAGTTCTCATGAGATAGAGTAAACTGCAGCTGAAGGCACAAGCTTCCTTCCAAGATAGTCCTGCCCAGAATGCCTGAATAACTTTCTTTCTGGAGGACTCGATTAAACCATCTAAAAAAAAGGTCCGGTTTGCAGTTGTTCCCTAGGTCTTGAGAAAATCCAAACCAGTGCTTCCTGGTTCCTTCCCCCTGGGATCCACTCAGGCTTCTTTCAGTTCTCCAGGGCCAAATATAGGCATCTTTATCCTAGAAAGTACTCCCAGTCACAAAATGAGATATGAACAAAAGAAGGGAAGGAAAATATGCCCTCGACCCACAGGCTCCCAGAAGTCTAAACTTTCCCCTTTTCTCTTATGTTTTATGATTTCTTCACTCCTAAGAGGGGCTGAGGTGGGATGGGAAGGGGCTGGTGTCAGTACTCCCCATATTCACTTCTTCCAGGTAGTGCAGAAATTTCCTAGCCAGACTTGTCTGTGGTCAGCTCAGTGTAGAGGTATGCTCTGGTCAAGGCAGAGAAGTGCAAGCTCTAAGTGCCTCTGAGCCCCTGTCTCCCACCCTTTCCAGTTTTTGGTTGTTGATTTTCCCATTTCAATCTGTACTCACATTGACTGGCCATCCACATTTCCTGTCCATTCATACACATGTATTAGCAAATGTCATTGTTGCATTAGAAAGTCCTGAAAAAACCCTTTCCTCCATTTATTGAAGTGTAGTGCTCCAAATTGCACCCCCTTGCAGAATGCTGCCTACCTTTCAGTCAGTCAATATCAACAATTTCTAGATACAAGTGCAGCAAAATTAAGTACTGAAATAGCCCACTTGGCCTAAATTCAATTTTGCTATACAAATCTTGCTTCTCTTGGATTTTAGAGGTGCATTATGGGGATATTCAACACAGTCATGGGAACAGGGGAGATCACTGCCCCTCTGGCCTGTCAGGATATCTATTGGTATTCTTAGAAGGCAACTCTACAGTCACAGGACCATGTGTTCCTTCTACAAGCCCAAATGAACACTTTCATAAGACGATGAGTGGTTAGGGTTGGGGGAGCATTATGTCCACAAATGGAGTTAAGACCTTCTGCATAGGCAGTCTATGGTGAGGAGTTCCTGTTGGAGGGAGAGAAGGATGGATGGAGGGAAGGAGGAAGAGAGGAAAAGAGGTAGGGATGGAGAGAAGGGTTATGGAAATAGCTAATCATGACAACTGAAGTGGCTACCTTTTCATCTCCTGGGCAGAAATGCGTCCTCTTTCCATATTGACTGTGGACTTGATCTTCCATCCAGACTGGGGATGCCACTTATGCCCAAACTAAGACTGCATTCATGCCTTCAGGAAATATGAGTCACGTTCTTGCACTCTTAAGCTGATCCCAGAAAGGACAGCGTACCGGGAGCCTCTTGTTGAGCTGGTCACTGATCCAAAGGTCAAGCAGTGTCCATTGAGAGTGTTCACTACATGCCAGGCTTTTTTTCTAGGTTTTCTAACATATAGTTTCTCATTAGAACCTCACTATAATTTATGAAGGAGGTCTCTATTCCCATGTTATAGGTGAGTAAATGGCACAGGGTGTTTATGTTACTTGCCTATATGGTTGTACTGATTGAAACCTGGGCCAGAGCACACACTGATTCCCGAGCCCTCACTCTAACACACCATTATAAGCCGCCCATCATGCAGTGCCAGACTCAGAACAACTCAGCTCATAGAAACCTAGTAGAGAACGTCCAGTACTGGAAACAGCAAAACAGCAGCAACCATTATTGAATGTTAACTGTGTGCTGGGTACTGTGCTAAGCATTAGCTTATTTAGTTCTGAGGTAAGTGCTATTATTACCCATCTTTTACAAAGGACACTATCACTTAGAAAAATAAAGTGACTTGTTCAATATCACACAGCTAGGACGAGAGAGGCTGGGCTTGGAATCTGGGCTGTCTGATCACACAGCCATTGTTGTCACTCACTCTGTGAATTAGGCTGCCTCTCATGAAGCCACCACTCTTCTCACTTTATGGGCCTTAATTTCTGTGACGTAGCATATTCTTTCTAATTCTAGTCCCCCAAAG